TTCGGATGCCCAACCGGAAATGACGTTGTAGCAATTGTTGAAGGGTAAAGTGAATTAAAGTCTAAGTAGGCAATCTTATGTTGTTCTTTTTCTGCGTCAAAGTACATTTGCAAGGGTCCAGTTCTTCCGCCAAAATAACAGTCTCTAATATTGATTGGTCCTTTGTTGTGATAATTTGCAAAAGCCTTCCTCATTTTCTGGCTGCGTCGTAGCATTTGATGTATATCGCATTCCCATATTATATCAACATTCTTTATATGTTTTTTAATTATTTCCAATCTTTTTTCATCATCTTCACGCGTTTCTCCCACACTTTTTCCATTGGGCAATATTTTGTACAAATCATCTCCAAAGCATTTTTGGCAAGCATGCCAGACACAGCCATTCACTTCAATTGCTCTATCTTCAGCCACAATGTACCCATCAACTTTATATTTTCCAGCCACTACAAATTCCCCACCTTCTGAATGTGCACTTTGAATTTCCACTCCTTTTGTTTCCTCGTACCATTGTAAATATTTCAGGGCAAGTTCACTTTGATTATCAATGCTTTCATACCCTTTCTCCGGAACAATTGCCAAATGGTCAGGCTGAAGATGATTCAGTCGAAAATGTTTCATACAGGCCGATGCTATTGTCATTGCATCCTTCAAAATATCAATTCCTTCTGCTACTTGCCCAGACTTGTCATTTTTTGGCTTGCTAATCTCTGTGAATTTTTTCCTGAATGCAATCAGTGCTTCTGTGAGTATTTGGACATCGTTTGTGCAATATTCGGCCAAGGCTTCATCCAGGCAAAATTGTTTATTTTTTTCTTCTTCATACCATTTGTCAAATTCATTTTGTTTTTCAGGTGACATTCCTCCATAAAGGTAATCATATTTTGAGGGCAGTTGTGGTAATATTTTATTGTAATTTTCAGGAATATTTGCCAGGTGCGGGAAAAATTGTTTTTCTGTAATTTGAAGTCCAAAGGCGCCAACCAGCTTCCCCAAGGCGACAGGGCAGAGATTAAATGAATCTCGAAACATAACTTCATTGCATTTATTGTTGCGGGAAATTTTCAATTCGTAAAGCTTGTTACCGCGACGAATCATTGATGGAACAACTCCTTTCTGATAAATTTCTTTGAATACCATAATCATATCATAGCGCCCTCCATTGTGTGAAAAAGCCATAGTTGTATATTGAGGGTTGAGTTTAAATAAAATCCAATCAATAAATTCAGTTAGAGGGTTTGCTGTGACGATTTGCTGATCGACTGTTGTTTGAGTAAATGGTCGGTGGGAAAATGTGATTGATCTATTATTTCCGCAGATTATACAATTTTTTCCATTTTGTTTGAGAGGGGCACGCCATAATTGCTCATCTTCCATACATTTTGTGCAGGTTACTGTTGCAGCAATGAAATTCACTTTGTGAAGTCGCCTTTCTTCTTTGGTAAATTCATTTATATTCTCATTTTGTGTTGCTTCAAAGTCAAATGTTATTAGACGGTAATGAGTTGGTTTTTTAAGTTCCAATGGTCGAATAAAGCACCCTCTATCCATGCTATGGAATTGCCGACAAATTTGACACCACTTTTGACCACAAACATGTTTCTTTTCAGTTTCTCTCCTGTAATTTCTCATTGTCCAAATTACTCCACATTTCTCACATTGCCTTGTTTGCCTACAATTATTAACTTTTTTGTGATGATTAAAACAATCTTCATTCAAGTATTTTTTCCCGCATTCATCACATTTTTTGAAGAAGTCTCCCGTTGCAACACAAGGTCTGCCACTTCCTATGCGCCCACAGAATCTGCAGAGAGATTTACATTTCGTGTCATGTTCCATTGATTTCCTAAACTTTTTTTCACATGTAAAGCAATATTTTACCCTCAATCCAAACATTCCTCCAACATTTTTGATTCCGTCAAAATGATTGTTTGTGTGAAGAATTGTAATAGGTATGTTGAAATTTTCATTTCCATAAGTAAATTTTGGCTTTTCGCTGTCGTTTCCAAATATAAATACTTTGAACTTGAACCCAGAATCATTATATTTGTTGTTCCAAAAATCTACAACAGCTGGAACAAATTCCACAGCATCATATTCAAGGAGGTTTTGGGGAATTTTTGCTGTGTTCAAAAGTTCAAAAACATCTTCCATTTGCCTCTTTTTATTTTGCATATATCTTGTAAAATTCCAATGCCCGCCCAATTCTTTGGTAAAATATTTTCTTGTTGCTTCTAGAGCATAGAAGAGGCATAGATTGTTGGGGTTATCGATTTTTAGTAGACAGGAACTATTTATTTGAAAATTACTTGTTGCTGATAATTGCGGTGCGCTGCCTCTTATTGATTTTGTTCTCGGAAGAGAGGAGATTCCAAGTGTTTGAATTGCTATTGTGAAAGGTTGACCAATAAGGGATCCTTTTTCTATCTTGGATTGGGAAACAAGCTGGAAACGATTAAGTATATTGTCGATCGTATCATTTTCAATTTTTCTTATAGGAATCCATATGTCGTTGTCTAATAATTGTGATGAAATTAATGCCCCCAGGCAGTCAGGCTCTATTGATTTATTTTTTGCTTCTTCAATTGTTTTATCCATGCATTGTTGTATTATTTTTCGAAGCAATTCCTCCGGATTTTCAGGTATTTTTTCTATTATAAATTTTCCAGTTGTTTTCATCATTTTAAATTTTCTGCTGTAGTCAGTTTCATAATCAATTTGACGGTAATAATTATTTAGGTTATTTGCGCCCGCACCGTTTTGTACGTCATTGAATAAATGGGGGAGGATATCGCGTATGAGGAATTTTGCGCGCTTATTGGCAGAAGGTCCGTTTTGACCGTTATTAAATGCCATTTTTGGTTTTTAATTTTTTAATTGTAGAGGATGTTTTGTTTTTGTTTTTGAGTCAAATGGTTAAGAATGACAAAAAACCTCGCCTTTTATACTCCTCGTTTCAGACGGTTAGGTGATTACGAAATATTTTTTTCAAGGTCATGTGATGCGGAATTGGTAAAATTTACTCCATCTAAACTCATTAATCAACAATCAATTAGATAAGATCTTAAGATAATGGGAAAAAATTTTTATAAGTTACTTTTTCATTATTTAATCACTTTGAAGGTCATTTTTATTAACGAAATTCTTTGTAGGCTTAAAATTTGCTGACTCAAAAACTCATTAATCATCAATCATTTAGATAAGACATGAGATAAAGGGCAAAATTTTTTAATAAGTTACCTTTTCCTTATTTCGTAACCTTCAAGGTCATTTTTAAATTACAAAAAACCTTTTGGCTTCAAAATTTGCTGCCTCAAAAACTCATTAATCATTAATCAATTAGATAAGATCTTGAGATGTTTCGAAATAGTTGGTTAACTTCCCTTACATTCTGACTTCCGCCCTTTTTTTGCAAATCATTTTAATATTTTTTTGTAAAATTTTGTAAAAATTTATCTCTCTCTATTTTTTATTTTTACTTAAATTATTTTTTATTAATTTTTATTATCTTTAATTCTACCGTACCCCGGACCCCTGCCCCCGACTTTTTTTCAGTCCCAGACTGAAATTCACAGACTCAAAAATTTCAGTCCCAGACTGAAAATCTTAGACTCGAAAATTTCATTCCCAGACTGAAAATCTTAGACTCAAATGTAACACCCCCAGACTGAACCCCATTGAGCGTTTTGTAGGCTGGCATTTTGTCGTTGTGGCATTTTGTCGTTTTGACATTTCGAAATTTGATGTTTCGAAATAATTGGTTAACGTCCCCTTACATTCTGACTTCCGCCCTTTTTTGCAAATCATTTTAATTTTTTTTGTAAAATTTATCTTATCCTATTTTTTACTTAATTTATTTTTTATTTAATTTATTTTTATTAATTTCACCGTATCCCGGACCCCGGCCCCCAAAATATTTCAGCCCCAGACTGAAATTTTTGAGCAAATGACCTTGAGAGAGAGAAATCTTCCTCCACCCCCTCCGCGGCTGCGCCGAGAAATAAGTGGAAATTAGATAAATCGCAAATTTTTGTTTAGTTTGTTTACTCCTCCATGGCGAAATGGTTAAGGTTTCCGCATATGGGAATAATGGCGAAGGTTCGATTCCGCTCGGGAATTTAATTATTTTAGAAATTATTTAGGTTTTTGCTCTAAATATTTCAGTACCAGACTGAAATTTCAGGTTCCAGTCCCAGACTGAAACATTGTACATGTACCTTTTACAAGTAATCAATCAAATTAATCACCTATCACCCATCAATCAAACACTTGTACTTGTACCTTGTACAAGTTGTGCACGGAATGGGTGTACCTTGTACAAGTAAAAGGTACAAGTACCTTGTACTTGTACCTGTCAATCAAATCTGTCACTTGTCACACATCAATCAAACTCTTGTACTTGTACCCCTGAAAGTACCCCCACACCCTTTGATTTCTTTTGATGATGCGCAAACGCCCCATTCTGTGCAGTTGTGCACGAATTGGGTGGTTCGGGAACAAAAGTACCCCAAACCCTTTGATTTCCCCGCACTTGTGCGGTGAAATTGTGGTGGGGAAACATGAAAACCCCCTACACCCTTTGGTTTTCCTTTGATCATACCGCCAAATTGATGAGGATAGGTCCTGGAAACCCCCTACACCCTTGGGTTTCCCTTTGATGTTGCAAAATTCCGCCACCCATTTTGTGCACACCTGTGCACGGAATGGGTGGGGGTAACTACTTCCCTGTTACCGAAAAAGTGTTAATTACCGTATTGTCTCTAATAGAAGCCCATCTCCAATAGAAGCCCATGCCCCAATAGAAGCCCACCCAATGAGGGGTATTGAAAAATAGAGGCCCAGGGCTTGTATTAGAGACAATACGGTATGTATAGAACCTCGTATCGCTTTTCTATCCCATGACTCTGCCTTCCCCGAAAATTTTCCCTAGGGCCCTTCTCCTATGGCGGAGTACCTGGATGTGTCGGGTTACTCGAACCGGACTTTTTTCAACTCGAAACCCGACCCAACTTTTTTAATTCGTCCCATCTATGTATCCCCTATCCATTCCTTTTTTACCCTCAGGTTTTCCCACAATCCAAATTTCTTAGTTATCAAACCCGACCTGGGATATTATAATTTGTGTAAAAATTATTCCAAGTCTAATTTTAGGATATAACGCTTCACACCTGGATTGATTCAACAATGAACGCAGCTGGACCGCTGCTTTGAGGGAAGTCATGATCCAGACAGTCACGCAATTCTGCCATATGTGATTCAAACGCAATACATTTCCCTTAAAATTACAAAATTTTAAAGTAGTTTTCCATCTCACCATTTTCACATTTGCAACTATTCGTTGATTCAGCAGGAGAGTCTCTACACTTTCCAACACCCCACGGCCCTCGAGCATCTGGACATTTTATTTTAACGATCCCAAATCCAGAAGGGAATGGCTGCTTCCAGTTTCCAAGATTAGTAGCACCCAGAATGGCCTGAAACACTTAGGGATTTTTCGTCCTCGAAGGGTAAAAACTATACTTGTGTTCCTCCATGATAAGCACCACGAAGACTTAGCACATCAAATCTATTAGTGTGTAACCTAGCTAGTGCTAAAACCAAGTCATTTGCCTCAGACCCAGAGTTTACAAAAAAGCAGGTATTCAAATGTGAAGGCATTTTTTTGGTTAAAGTTTCTGCATATTCAACAATCGGGTCTGTTCGGTAAATGGAAGAAGTATGCCAAAGTTGGTCTATTTGTTTCTTTAGGGAATCGTTGACTTTTCTGATTATTTAAAAAAGTGAAATTATACAAATTTAAAAATTGCTTCATAATACAGGCCAACCTCGTTATAAAAGTTATCTTTATTTTAACTAGGGTAGCAACCTGACTCTTCGGGGTCGGGTATGTCGGGGGTCGGGGTTTGCCGGGGAGGGCATGTCTGGGTTCAGGGTCGGGGTTGACTTTTCGGTTGGGGTACGGGGGTCGGGTCGCTACCCTAATTTTAACTATGAGGTATCGCTTAAGCAACTTCTTCCCTCATGTAGCCAACTAAAAGTTTAAAGAATGTATCTCAAATTGAAAGGTATCTAATAAGACGACGAGATTTCGAACAAAAATCTCGGTTATAGCATCGACATCCTTTAGGATTTTCGTCGACTCGCCCAGTCCAGTCTCTATTATCTATTGTTAGGTGTATCTTATAGTAAGGCTTATCTGTAAAATTTACGGATGGCAGTGACCCACAGATACAGTAACAATACCGCCAATCATATCAAGATATTTGTTTCCTTTAGAATCCCATAGATATTGCATCTTTCCACGAACAATATGTAAAGGTTGTTGGTAATAAGTAAGAGTTGAGGGATTTAGATGATTGAGCCAGTGTTTTGACATTTTCAATGGTTCTCGAATTTACAAGATTTTCTTACTAATTTAATTTTTAATATTTAAATATTAACACTATATTTAGAGTAGAAAATAAAATGATGGGAAAGATAAGTAAGTGTTTTTCCTTTATTAATTGATTGATGACCTTCTACGGACTATAAAGTGGTTTTAAAATCGTAAAAGAACGTTTTACTTTTTGTAACCAAAAATTTTTTTGTCGACCCCTTTCGAGCGAAGAATTTGGAAATTATAAAGAAAATCCAATTGAATGGTTTAAATCCCTACAAATTACAATCCGGCGGCTAGGTACGAACCAGTATCTTCAGTTTCGTACTTGTCGACCCTTCTGTTGTTTGAAGGTTCTTTCTGGAATAGAGCCCTTCCATGAGGTTCTATTCTATCTCCCATCTAATGAACGTTTCCACGGCATTCTAACATTTAATACTTGCACAAATCTCCGTAAGTTTCTATTTCTAATAACACCATTCTGGGCTGGCGATGTTCAATATTTTGTAGTCAAAAAATTTCTCAATATTTTTTTCTTTGAGGACGTCGCAAGCATCTTGGCTGTCATTAATTGATTAATATATTTATTTCATAATTAGGTATGTTAAGGCAGTCATTTAGCCCTTATTTATTTATATTTTTTATATATTTTATATTTACATATTTTTAATTTTTTTATTGCTTGCTGGAGCGTTGATTTTAAGAATTCTAGTCGATATTACACGATTTTCGACATTTTTGCCCCTTTGGCGATTTTTTGGGCAATCTTCTTTCCAACTTGATTGATCATGTCTGATCACCCATTAAAAAGTTACAAGTCGATAAGTGCAAGAAATCGTTGTTTTTCGCACTTATCGACTTGTAACTTTTTAATTGGAATCAGTCAAAAACCATCCAGTTAGAAAAAAGATAGCGCCTATCGAGGGCTTTCGCATCGCCTAAGATTCATTCAAATTTTTTCAATTATAAAAAAGTTATAGCCGATCAAAGTCCGGCCCGCCTCATAGTCCATTATAGTATAAAAGGGCAAAATTTTACTTTGCATGTGACTTTGTTTAATTAAGCATTTGCACTTGTTTAATTAAGTAATATGTTGACAACTAAATTATTTATTATTTATTTTATTTTTCTTCTGTTTTCCTTGTCAACTACAAACGATGAAGAATCTTGTGGAGAAAGTTCTACTCGTAAAATACTTAATATAAATTTTTTAATTAAAATTTTAATATTTTAAAGCTTTTCTAGAAGAGGAATATTACTTATCTGACGACATTTATGACCTTGAAAATGAAGTGAAAGTAAGGAATATTAAGTAGTATAAGGGAGAAAACTCAAAAGCCATGAAAAATTTTTAGTTTCAGGCCCTATCCCAGACAAAAAATTTTTCCGGCAAATCTCTAGTAATTAAATGAGTCTTAAATTGGGAATATCTTTTAGACAGCTTTCCTCATCCAGTGGCCATCTGAATTTTAAACAAATATCTTAAATAGGTTTGTCGGATCCGGATCCTAAAGTCCGAAAATTTCAGGTTCGGATATCGGATCTGGATATTTGTGGGGATTTCCGAAGATCCGCCAACAACAAGCTTAAATGTATCTAGTTATGCGCGTATTTAGAAATGAGGTCTGATTTTTATTATTCCAGGAATTGAACGGACGAGTGCATTTTGATCCAAAAGGTGGAAAAAATTTTTTCAATAAAACTTTGAATATGGCAAGAGAAATTAATAAAACAATTAAAGAACACAAATTAAATTACTTACACTCAGTTGTAGCTAACGGAAATTTCCATTTATTATTTAATTCTGAAGTAAAAATATTAAAAGGCACAAACCAACAAAATACTATAGAAATATTTATGACTAAATTTCGTAAAATTCTTTTGAATTTTCGTTTAGAATTAATCGAGAGCTATGAAGGTATATCTTTTTATTGTCATTTGTCTTGTTTATTTGTTTACTCAACCTTTGTTTTTATTTTGGGAACCGGATATTTATAAGATGGGACATGCCCAAAACAACGTGCGGCCATAACAACGCAAAGCCATAACTTGTTGGAATATTTTTGACCATTGTCATTTTTGTTATCAGTCTCTTTAGCTCGATGAGAGGAATCGTTTAATATTAATTTTGGTAAGGTTCGAAAATTTTGAAGCAAGCTATGGCTTTGCGCCGTTATGGCCGCGCGCCCTTTTGGGTGTCCTATATTTGAGGGAAGAAAATGATTGGCATTAAAAAAAGAAGAAAAAAATGATTGACAGCAAAGAAGGAAAATTAACCCGAGACTCAAATAGGAGTGGGGGGTGGTTTATGAACAAAGTACCCGTTCTTTTTCTAAAAAATTTTTCTAGGCATAGTTTAAATTTTAATTTCTAAATAAATTTTTTTGCCAGAAATTCCTTCTCAAATGCTAACCGAAATTTGTGAAATGCTTTTTTTCCGTGCAATTCTTGAAATTTTAAATTCAAAAATTTTAAACAAAAAATATAAAGAATTTTTAAAAATAGAAGAGAAAGATAAAGAAATTGTGAAATATTTAATTGATGAATTTGATTTTTATGCGAAATTTCCTGAAATATTTTATTCTATAGACAAAAAAGTAAAATTCGGAGAAATTGGAAAACTTGGAGAAGTATTACGTGAAAAAATAAAAAAGTTTCATGAAGATTATATTAAAAATAAATTAAGTGGTTTTATTGATCATTTAGTGAAGATATGACGAAATTTGAGGGAATTCTGAGGAGGAAAATTTGGGGAATATGAGGAAAAAGTTTGGGGAATATGAGGAGAAATGGGTGAGAATCTGAGGAAAGACGGGGAGAATCTGAGGAGGAAAACACATTTAAAAAAATTTTTTTATAAGGTGTATACCAGAGATGGCATCCTTCCAACCAGGGGCAGGCGCAAGACAATCGCCGAACATTGCGCCGCCCTTGCTTCTGACTTCTCCAACCTACATACGACTCTTTTGGCTCCCCAGCTGTCCCCTGATTTTTTATTATCTTCCGCCTTCTGTCTTCCGTCTTTAAAATGCGGAAAGAACATCTTTAAAATGATGTTCTTGGTATATAATTTGATTGCCTATACTATAGCTATCTTTAAAAAATAAATTTATGTTAAATTATTCGCCAGTTATTTAATTCTTTTTGCTTTTTTATCACACTTTACAGAATTGCTTAGAAAATCTGATTTTTGAATATTTAAAAAAATAAAATATTAAGACTATTTATTGAGTAAACACATCAATTTATTCTTAATTTCTCTAAAATTTTTTTGGTTCCAATGGGACAACACTGGGTCAGACGCATAAATAAGATATTCAATTAATTTTTGTGTTTTATATTTTTTTCTAATTTTTGATATGTTTATGTGTAATGCAGTAATAATTGTTTATTTTCACAATCTTTTTATAAATATTTACTTTTCCCTATAAACATTTTCCCATTTTTATCGTTTATTTTCGTTGTGTTTAATTTGAAGTTCCACAAGCGGCTAAACGACATTTGCGGACCCGCACTTGCGGACCGACATTTGCGGACCGACATTTGCGGATTCGCACTTGCGGACCGACTTTTGCGGACCGACTCTTGCGGACCGACATATGCGGACCGACACTTGCGGACCCGACATTTGCGGACCCGAAAGGAAATAAAAAATTTTTTTATAAAATAGGTCGGCAGACACTTTTAAAAAAGTTAGTTTTATTGTAGAGCAGGGACCTGAACCATAATTAAGGTAGATTCGGAGGATATAGGTGATCTGATGGGATTAAAGTAATCTCGAGGTATTTGGGCGTGAGCTTGGAAAACCTAGAGATGTAAAGGTGATATAAGTTTATCTGGTAGTATTAACGGTAATCCGAAAAATAGCGTAGGGATTTCGAAGAAACCTCTGCTCCCACTGGCGGACTCGATTTTGGGTCCGTCAGTCAGTGGGTACTTATTTTTTACTTATTTTTTAAAAATTAATTTCGGGTCCGCAAATGTCGGTCCGCAAGTGTCGGTCCGCAAAAGTCGGTCCGTAAGTGTCGGTCCGCAAGTGCGGGTCCGCAAGTGTCGGTCCGCAAGTGCGAATCCGCAAATGTCGGTCCGCAAGTGCGGGTCCGCAAAAGTCGGCTAACCCCACAAGCATATACAAAAATTCCTTTTTTATCTAGCCGCATCGGAGCAGGACTAATAGGCGCGGCCGAATAGGCGCGGCCGAATAGGCGCCGAGACAAATAGGCGCGAGACGAATAGGCGCGGGACGAATAGGCGCCCGAAGTTATTTTTTCCTATAAAATTTTTTTGTTCTGATGTTCTGATTTTTTTCTGATTTTCTGTTCTGATTTTTTTTCTGATTTTTTTTCTGTTTTTCTGTTCTGATTTTTTTGTTCTGATTTTCTTTTCTGATTTTTTCTTCTGATTTTTTCGTTCTGATTTTTTTCTTATTTTCTGTTTTGATTTTTTCTTCTGATTTTTTCGTTCTGATTTCTTTTCTGATTTTCTGTTCTGATTTTTTTCTGATTTTCTGTTCTGATTTTGTGATACATGTAAGTTGTATGTCGAGTGCTGATTTAGAGTGAGTTGGGGAGATAGCGGAGGATAAAGGGCATAAGTAGGGGAAAAATTCCATCATAAGTCCCGGAAACAAATTCGAACAAACAATAAGTCATTTGAAAGAGCTCGGCACCAAAATCAGCTCGATGGGATGATCATGGACAAAGTTATGACCAACTGAATCTTCACCGGAAAAACTTTTTGTGCTGCTACGGAGTAGGCCGGGAAAATCAGAAGAAAAAATCAAAACAGAAAATCAGAAAAAAATCAGAACAAAAAAATCAGAACATCAGAACAAATAAATTTTATAGGAAAAAATAACTTCGGGCGCCTATTCGTCCCGCGCCTATTCGTCCCGCGCCTATTCGTCTCGCGCCTATTTGTCTCGGCGCCTATTCGGCCGCGCCTATTCGGCCGCGCCTATTCGTCGTGTACCGAGCCGCATTTCCCCTCGAATATTCAAATAAATGCCAATCATATTTATATTTCCGATTCCTTATATGTATATTTTCCAACTTGATTGTCTACATATATAATTTCTAAGGTTACACCCCAATGTACCGCAAGAGCTATAACCTTGTTTAAAATTGTCGAATCTGTGGCTCCCTGGTATGGTTCGATGCGTCTCGACCCGCTGAATCGAACTATACTAGGGCGCCACGGATTCGACAATTTTGGACAAAGTTATAGCTCGGCGGTACATTGGGTTCGCGGTACACTGGCCTGCTCACCATTTCTAACATTCTTCCTATTTTTCACCTTATATTGATTATAACGAGACACTATTTTTCAAAATTATCATTTATATAAATTTAAAAATTTCTTTATTCAGAGTAAATAATTGGTAAAGACACAATCAATGTCTAAAATTATTAATGAGGACAGAAAAAAGAATAAAAAGGAGCATCCAAAACCTATAGGCTCTTCCCTTGCTACAGATATAGAAAATCAGCAACTTTTTCAAGCGTTAGGCGATAATCGTGTTTCTATGATGGCTGGTGTTGCTCAGTTATTAAATGCCCTTCCGGACTGTCCCGATGTTTGGAGGAAAGTTGAGGAGGGATTGGCGGTCTTGACAAAAGATTATGCTAAAAAACATTACTCACTGTGTTTGTATGACATTTTGAATCAGAAAATTGTTTGGGAACAAGCCTTGTAAGAAAATTTTTTGGTAATATTGAACCTGACAGACCCCTTTTTTTCCTCCCCAAGTTCTTTCGATACTATTGACTTATAGGGGACTTTTTTGGCTGGACCGATTTCGACAAATGATATGTCATTCGAAAGAGCTCGTCGAGCTGAGTCGAATGAGGGGTGAATGGTATCGATCCGACAATCAGGCTGCTACAAGGCCCCGGGTACGTCCAGAGCAAGGGAAATAGGAATAGGTTTATGTTACTAACCCAGAACCCAGCGACCGTTTTGCGGCACGCGCTTCGCGGGGAGCAAAGTATAGAAAGGCAATTGAAATGAGAGTCATAAAAATTTTTAATTTTAGACACAAAAACTTCGAAATCAAAATCTATGAAAAATTGCCTCGTTTTATTACGTTTGAAAGCGACACGTGTCCACATGCATTAAATTTTGCTAACACTAACGAGGCGAACATGTTCAAAAATATATTGAAATTAACTATTAAACGAATTAATAATGGAGGAGGTGTTTTTATTTTTTGCTTCAAAAATTTTATTTCCAAATTTGTTTTACCTAACAGTAGTGTTGTTTTTTTCGGGCTTGTTTTGATCGAGTTGGGCCGGTCTGAATCTTTTTCGGGTTAAATAACTTAGGCCCAACTCGATCTTTCGGTCCGAGTCGGTCCATTTTGGCAACTCTACTTAACAGTTCTAAAAAATTTCTTAACAATAAAAAATTTTGATTAAATATTTTATGAGAATTTTAATTTCTAGTAAAGCCACAAGTTCAACAGCCTCAAAATCATTTATCTCCATCCACATCCAATATTAATCAAATGCCAACAGGAATAACGAATATTGGGACTAGTCCTCAAGTTGGCCCATCTTTCCACCAATTTTTTACACCAAACAAGAAGATGCCGTCTAAAAAGGATAAAAATAATGATGGCCGTCCAACTCTTACTAAAAAGGATCTTGGAGCTGCAACTGACTTTGCGTAAAATTTCATCTGGCTTACTATTAGAGTCGAAAAATCAAAAAAATATTTTTAGGCATATTGCTTGGGATGCTCTGGATAGTTTTAACAATGAAAGTCTGGGTGCTCCAATGGATGAAACTGTTAGTCGTTTACTTCATGAAATAGGACAAAATCCTTACGAAATGAAGAAAAGTGAATTGAAATTTGCTCAAAAATTTATTAACAAATATTATAATGCTTGAAAAACGTTATTAAATCAATATCAAATTCCAGTTGACTGTTTACTTTTAAAATGATCAGAAATAAGAAAAGAATTGTCAAAAATATTTGACAAGAATAACTAATTTTTTAAATTATTGATAAATATGTTTTGTTTTTAAATTGGATTATTTAAAAATTATTTAAAAATTATAAAAAACATTGGATTATTTTTAAAAACACGGATTTGCAGATTTTTGTGGTCCAATGAGAACATTCCTTTCTTGATTTAAAATAACAATAAGTTACTGTTTTCGGATTCGCTTTAGTATATCAAGTATAGAGTCCGACCCTACCGTACTACGACGGCATTTTTCGGTATCGGTATTCCGTATCGGTAGTACGGTACGAAATACCGACCGATGAAATTTTGAAGTTGATCGGTACTTATCGTATTTCAGTACGGAATACTGTTCAGTAGGAAATTCCGGTCTCTAATCAAGCATAAAATTGAGGTAATGTTTTAAAAATTGAGGTAATGTTTTTTTAAATGTTTAACGTAATGTTAAGTTTTTTTTGAGTTTTAAAATGTTTAATGCTTGGTGTGTCCATCGCTTAACAACTTTACGTCTGGACTTTGATATGCGCGGATTTTCCTCAATGGTTCTTTGATTGGTCGATGAGGATTATTTTTAAGTCCGGATTTACGGATTTAAGTGGTCTTTCGAAGATTATGAGGAAAATTGAGGAAATCTGTCTTCTGCCCCTCCAAAATCCTCAAAATGTTCGAGTCCTAAAGAGACTCATATAGGGGATAAATATAACTAAATTGAGTGAGAATAAAAATTTTTTTCAATTATTGGGGTCAAAAATGTAACGGCATAATATGATTTTAATCCAATTTTTAAAGTTTTTTACTTTTTTTTCAAATTTTTGATATAAAATGCGGTAATTATTGTTTATTTTCATAAACCTTAGAAAAAAAGCTGCAAATCCGAAAAGAACTGAAAATTTTTTATCTATTGGGTAAATCTAAAATAAATTTACTTTACTATAAAAAAGTTGTTTTGATTTATTTACACATTAAAATAAGAAAAAGATTGGAATTTGTTGCTATGTTTGTTGAAAAGTTTTTAATAAAAACGTTACAATTAAAAATTATCAGAAAATAAATTTTGTAATTTTAAACTTTTTTAAAGACAATTCAACCCTCAAATTTATTAAAAAATATCAAAATTGTAGTGGACCTGATAATATGAGACACCCCGAGAATTTTGAATCTTGTAATGAAATGTATCTTAAATAGAGGATATCGCTTAGATATCTCTTCCATTCCAATGGCCAGCCAAATTTTAGAAACCTAACTTAAATAGAAATTTTGGTTGGAAAAAAATATATAGAAATTTTGGTAAATAGAAATTTTGGTTTATTAGCCACGGTTTTCGGTGGTTTGCGACTCTCGGTTTTCGGTTCAGTTTTATTCGCCAAGAACACCGGTTTTCGGGTTTTCGGCTCCTGCTCGGTTAGCCCTTTGTGCCCAACCTAATAGAGATCTATCTAATATTGGGTATGTATATCTTATTGAGAGGTGTTCAACACTAATTTATTTTTCATTTTACAAAAAAACGAACTAATCTCCTTTCCAAAATTTTTAAAAAAATTATTCTTTTGATTTTCAATTCTTTTCAAATTTATTTTTTCTTAATTTATTTTCTTTAAAAAATCTTTTTTGTTCAAAAATAAAATTAAAAAATAATAAAAGATCCCTTTTAATAAAAATTTATTTTTCATTTTTTTGCTTTATTTTTGCTTTCTTTATTTTTAAATATTGTTTAATCGGTGCTATTTTTATGTTGTAAATTATTTTTTCTATATTAAACATATAGTTTGTTTAGTTTAAAACAGAACAAAAATTGTTCTTTAGTTTATTCTAAATTTATTTTTTAATTCATTCCCACGTTCAAAACACTTTAAATATAATTTAAATAAAGGGTACAAGTCAATTACCAGTAAAAACACTTTGAATGGCCTGTATTACTCATCCAAATTTATTTACACCTTTTAGACCCTTATCCTTGCCGGTATATAAAATAATTAATATTTTTACTAACGGATTGTAAAACGGAAAATAAATTATAATCTTTATAATTTGTAACCGGATTGTAAAAATATGTGATCATTTTTTCAAACCGGATTGTAAAAGTAAATATTTGTAAAATACTATTTTATCCGGATCGTACACGAAATACATAATTATTTATTATTTTTACAATTTGAAACCGAATTGTAAAAGGACAATAGAAAATTACCTTCCAAACGGTACGTAAGACTTATATTAAATTAATTTTCAACCGGATTGTAAATATATATTTAATTATAATTTTAACAATTTGTAAACGAAAAACAAATAATTTTCCAACCGGATTATAAAAAAATATGTGATTATTTTTTCCAGTACCGGAACCGAAATTTTGACTGAAAACGGTAATTATTAGTTTGTAACCGGATCCGAATTTGCAACTAAATTGTACGGAAAATAATTATTTTTACAACCTGATTTTAAAAAAAAATATTCTACAACCGGGTTATATAAGGGAATACATACCTAAATAATATTTACAACCGGATTGTAAAACGAGAATATATGTAATAATTATTTTTTAACCTTTTACAGATCGTTTACAATTTAATTATTCATTCAATTTAAATTTTTTCTCTCTTCCCCAAATATTTATTTAAATTTCTCATCGTTCAAAACACCCCCATTTTTACAAAAAATTCAAAAAAATATTTTTTAACAAAAAATTGTTTTTATTATTACGTGTCATTTATCGCCATATAACGGCTTTCTACCAACTATTAATATTTACACTAAATTCAAAACAGAAATCTAATATTTGGGGGGGGGGGGGGGGGGGAACGACCGGTTTTGGTAGTTTTCTCTTTTAATGGGAAAAAATGGGGGGAGGGGGGGGGGGAAGAGGGGGGGGGGGAGAAGAGAAAATTGGCTGCGGGAAGAAATTCCATTTTCAGGAGTTTACAAAACCAACAAAAATTCAAAGGGAAAAGGCTAAATAAAATGCCACCCCCTTTATCCGTCCTAAAGCCAGATCGGGTTTCTTCTCTTATTTTTTTTCATTCTCGCAGCAGAAACAAACATTAAAAATAAAATAATAGAAAAATAAATAAATATTTTGTTACTAAATTTATTTATTTTTGAATAAATAAAGCTTTTATGTTTAAAATTGAATTTTTAAATTAAGTTCCATCCCGAGCCCTGTCTTGTTTCAAGCGATTTCTTCTTGGATTGATATATATTTTGGTATCCGTATCCGGATATTTACGGCGGATACAGGCGGATATCCGCAAGCATCTTGATATTATCTGTATCCATATCCGTATCCATGACTAGGTCTGGCAAAAATAGTCGTTTTTGGTCTCCATTTTCTGGTTACAATTTTTCTGATATTTTATGTAGAATAAGAGAACCTGGGGATTCAGACCATTATTTTATCCCAGTCCCAAACCCTTCAATAATCTACATGTCCCACACCTCCCACTCCGAACGTTTGTTGTGGAACCTTTTTAAATAGGAGAACCTTGAGGGGGATTCAGAGAGGGATTCAGACCATTATTTTATTCCTGTCCTGAACCTTTCCCAAACCCTTCTCAGTCACAAACCCTCCCACACCGAACGTTTATTGTGAAACCCTACTTAAGAAATAAATACAACCAAACTTTTTTTCATTTTTTAATCACATAATTAAATTTTATAGCCAAATAAAACCATTTAAAATTTCCTTTTCTCTCCCTTCGAACTTAACTTAACCATTTACCCAAATAGGCATCCCCCATCTATCTTCTTCCAATAATAAAAAAACTGAAATGAGAAGATCAATTAGAACCCCTAATTTATTTTTGTAATAATAATAAAAATAAAAATTCATCTCTCTCAGATTTTCTTTTTGATAAAAAAAATATTTATTTCTTTAACTTTCTTCCCTATCAATTTCCAAATCTCAAAAGATGACCCAAAGAATTTTTTTTGGGGATATAACCTTTCACAACAGCTTACAAATCTGCGCATCTAAGTACACACAAAAATGCTTTTGTTATTTAATTAAAAGGCCGAAAAAGATACCCCCCCCCTCCTTTTGCTTGACTGCTTTTACTTTATTTTTTAGTTTTTTGTCCGCCCATTATTCTTCTCTCCATTCTTTTATTCTTTTAGCTTCACCCGATTCATTTTTATTTTAAAGGGTTAGATCAAAAGCAACTTTTGTTGGGGAAAGGTCTTTTCTATATTTTTATTTAATTTTTAAATTTTACAAACGCTTTGAAAGTCAATTTTTGGTACATTTTTGGATACCCTGGCCCCCACTTTGGAGTATTAGTTATTATTTCCTTCTTAATTTTTGGTTGTATTTGGTCAAACAATACATATGTATAGGTATTTTTACAACTGCACTTACATTTCACTTACATATACTGCTTGAGGAGAATACCGTATGACCTGTATTAATTGCCCTCCCTCAACTAATTACCCCCCCCCCCCCCCACTTCCATTAACACCCGATTCATTTTTTTTTCATTAATTACCCCATCGAGTGATAGATTGAAACAATAATTACCCCCAAACAAATGCCCTAAAACACGTTCAAATTTCAAACCTCGTATAATTACCCTCCCTCGATTAATTACTCCATCCAGCGGAATGTCAAAACAATAATTACTCAGGGTAGTTATTAAAGGATATACGGTAAGTGATAAACAGGAAATAATAACTGAAACTCAAATTAGGAGGGGGTGGGATATCCAAAAGGTACCCAATTGTAAAATTTTTACAAAAGTTCAAAGCTTTGTAATTCAATTAAAAATTTCAATAAAAATTTCAAAATTAACAAAAAAAGGTCAAAAAAATCAAAAAAGTATTTCTCAATTCTCGATGTTTGCGCAATCAATCAAAAGGGGAGAAGCTTTTTCTCTTACCTGCCGTTTTTGCTTATTCATTTTTTAAATTTTCACATTAGCCTCGTTTAATCGATTGATTGATTGTTTTCCTCATATGTTTATTTACAAATAATTTTAAAGGAAATAATTTTTAAAATTATATTACAATTTGTAGACGGATTGTAAAAATCCACAATTAATTTCACAATTTGTAATCCGGTTTAAGGGATGAGCGCAAGAGTAAAGCAGCTGGACTATAGCTATTTCTCTCCTTTAGCTAGTGCAAAAGGTTATTCGGCGGCTGGGAGCGAACCAGCATCTTCAGTAGACCGGACTGTTGTGTTAGCCATTACACCACGCCGCCTACTGCTCAGCCTTAGGAAATTAGTAGCTATATGCTTTACACAAGAGACAATCTCAAAAAACGCAAAACGCAAGGCCAAAATTTAACGCAAGTAACGCAATGCGCTCACCCCTGATCCGGTTACAAAGTAATAAATTATTGAAATTTTATTTTACAATTCAGTTGTAAAAATAAGATTAAATATTAGCCTTACAATAGGTTTACAAATTGTTTTACAACCGGATATTAATAAATACCGTAACTTAATATTATTACAATTTGTAACCGGATTGTAAGAATAATATTTAATTTTTATTTTTACAACTGAATTGTAAAAGAGAATAAAGAATTATTATTTTGAACCGGATTGTGAAATAATTTCAATTAAAAGTATTATATTTGTAACCGGGTTGTAAAACTAAATTTGTAATTGCTACCTTGTAACTGTTACCTAAATAGGTATTAGAGATCGGGATTTTCAAAGATCCTGGATCTGGATTTAGGTTAGTAACCTGGACAGGATTCTTGATCTGTATCCGGGAAAAATCCAGGACGATCAAAAAATGCCTGGATCTGGGACTGAAAATGCCTGGATCCAGTAAAAATCCCGACTTGATCCAGATCCAGACCTATCCTACTACCTATATATGTATGGGTATTAAATATTTCTATCCTTATTGTAACTAGGTATATACCCAATTGTAAACTCTTACTCATCGTATATTTCACTCAACCTCTTTCTTCGTTTTTACAAATTTACCATTTATAGAAAGAATGATTCACAACACAAATCGTGTTGCGAAATTAAAAGAATCATTTATGGCCCCCATTCCCTAAATATATATTTTTATGTCCCCAATCTAAAAAAAACATTTTTTCTCATTTCCGCTATTTTCCTTCAATATTTTAATTTATTTTTCTATTTTTACAAACAAAAACAAAAATTTATTTTCATTTAAAAGTAGGGTTGGGGTCGTTTTGGCGCCGGGCCGTTTTGGCGCGAGAACTAAAAACTGGTACTTAGGCGAGACCAAAATTCCTAAAATTTTTCTCAAATTTCTTTACCATACTTGACTACCTCCTCCAGAAATTTCAGAATTTTTCATCAAATATTTATGAAGTTATAGTCGATAGACCTCGAAAAATTAGGCATTTTTCAGAAAATCAACATTTTTGGCCACAATTTCTGGTATTCATGATCAAAAATTTTGAAATTTTTGGAGAACTTAGCTAAAGGTATGAAAGTTATTATTGCAAAATTTGATCATTTTTGATAAACAAATCACTGTTTTATAAGCTCGCGCCAAAACGGCCCTGTCCATTTAAAAGTATAGTATAACTACTAAACTAGTAGCGAGGCAGATGCTTCTTTCTACTTAATTTTTCTAATACATATTTTTAAAAGCTAAATACTTTTTTTTTGTTTGTTTTGGGTAGTCGATCATCTTTTTCCACCACTTTAATATACAATTATATTTTTTCCCTTTTACTACCCCCTATACCTTTAAAACTCTTTTTTCTCTTCATTTTAATGTAAATACTATTTTGTTTTAATATTTTGTTTCAATTTATTAAATGAACTTTTTATTATACCGGTATGTAGAAAATAATTAAAAGTAAAATTAATTATTTTTACAACCGGATTGTAAAATAAAGCAACTGTTAGGTAAAAATAATTATAGTTTAACAATTTGTAACCGAATTGTAAACAATAAAATATTTTAATTATTTGTAACCGAATTCTGACGGATAATAATATATTACAACCGGGTTAACCGGATTGTAAACATAATACATATTTATTATTTTTACAATTTGTAATCGACACAGACCGGTTAATAATCTAATTGGTCAATTAACCCCTTCCCCCCGACTTCGATGTATCGGTAAAGATCAAAAGGAATTGTTCAATAGGTGTTAATTGGTCAATTAGTCATCATAATTATCAAAGGGAATCTCCCGAAAACCCCCTACACCCATAGGATAATGTCGGCAAAATCAAAGAAAATTAGGCGGAAACCCCCTACACCCTTTGGTTTGAGCGGACCCCTCCCCCCGACTTCGACTGGCTACTCACTACTACTATTCTAACCGGATTGTAAAATCAAATTATTATTATTTGTAACCGGATTTTGACGGTCAATAATATTTTACAACCGGGTTCAACAGGATTGTAAATGAAATACATATTTATTATATTTTACAATTTGTAACCGGACTCAAAAAGAACTAGAAAATAATTATTTCAACCGGATTGTAAAATCATCTACCAGCTAACCTTATTAATTTTCAACTCTTAATTAATTAGAAACCTATAATCATCCTCTAACAAATTTTTTTATTTTAAAAATTAATTCTCTTAATTTTCTAATTGATTTAACTTATTTTTTAAAAGAAAAAGCCAAATTTCATAACACAAATAGGCAAGAAAAAAAAAGTTTTTTTTTCGCGCATCTCCCCTTCCTTTCCCCTTTCATTTCACCACTTATTATTATTTTTCTCCTCACGTAAAAACTATTTATTATTTACAATTGTAAAAAGCACTTGAGAAACTTTCGGTTATTTTGTAAACACAAAAAATTATGGTAATTGGGCAACCGGAAGTTGGAGATACTTAAACTGGAATTATTAACTTATTTAAAATTGGTTTTGCTTTTTTTAGTTTATTGTTTTTTAAATATTACAAATCAAGCTTTAATCCGTGTTTTTTGTTTATTTTGAAATTTATTTTGTAAATAAAATTTTTTGAATCAGGAAAGTTAGTTATGTGTTGAGCTCTTGATTATTTATTTTTACAATCCGGTTGTAAAATATAATTAGCTATTCGTTTCTACTAGGGTTGTTGGCGACCGGTTAAAAACCGGTACCCTCGGTTTTCGGTTTTGGCCGGTTTACGACCCCCTGTTTTCGGTTTCGGTTTTCGATTGACCCCCGGTTTTTGGTTAACCGAAATCGGTTTATGCCTGAATTTGCCATACAGAACATTAAATTCATATTTTATCACATTATTGTGCTTCAATGAAATATTCTAAAGATCAGCCAACGAAAATTTTGTTATTTAGGGCCGCAATGAAAATACAGTGCTGGGTATTAGCCATTTATTGGCTTCTGCTTCGAACTTTTGAAATCATGGCTCAGGCTTCGGCTCCGCCGGAGCCGGCTCCGGTGCTAGCTTGCGGAGCCATAGACAGCGTATAACCCTAGCACAGCCAACAACCCTAGTTTCTACAATCCGGTTAAGAATTGTACATCCGGTTGTAAAATAAATAATTACCTATTTATTTTTACAATCCGGTTGTAAATTGTAATATTTTGTTCAATTGTAAATTAAATAATTGTTTCCGTCACAATCCGGTTATAAATTATATCCGGTTGTGAAATATTTACTTATTCATTTTACAATCCGGTTGTAATAATAATTTTCATTTTTCTTCTACAATCCGGTTGTAAAATTAATAATTAATTATCCTTATTTTCCGATTACAAATTGTAATAATTATTATTCTTATTAGATTTACAATCCGGTTGGAATAATAATAATTAATTATTCTTTCCGGTTACAAATTGTAATAATTATTTTTTAAACTTCATTTTACAATCCGTTTGTAAAACCAATAATTTTTATAAAAAATATATACGACCATAAAACAATTCTCATATTTTCTCATTTATCCCTCGATAATATTTTCTAAAATAATTAATTTAATTTTATAAATAGGTCCTATAATTTAATTACCGCATTTAAAAATGAAAATATCAACAAATAATTTTTTTATTATTTTCCCCTTCTTTTCAATTTTATTTTTTTCTTCAATAAATTTAATTTTTTCTACTCCAACAACATTTTTTGTTTCCTCTTTTAATCAAAATTTTGATTGTGTTGATTTAAGTTGCGAGACTAATGATTTTGGGAAGTTGGATATTTTTGATGATGATTTGAAATTAATAGACATTAGTAATGGGAAAGTGTTGGAAAAATGTAGTAAATGCAATGATTGTACAAATAGTGGATATAGGTAGTTAACTAATTTAAATATGGGCATTTTGAAATTGGACATTATGAAATATGAACGTTTTGAATTTTGGACATTTTGAGATTTGGACAGTATAGTATTATGGACGTTTTGATTAGAGGTCGGCACCGGACAGGATTCCGTCGGAATTTTACGGGATCCTGTCCCGAAATCCCGTGTTTTACGCGGTGAACGGGATTACGGGATTTACGGGATTACTCCGGCGGGATCCTTCCCGCAAAAATTTTTGAAAAAATCCCGTTACGGGATCCCGTGAATGCGATTTTACAGACCTCTAGTTTTAATGGTGTAAAATTAGTGGAAACCGTCAAAATTATTTTTCGGGACCGGAAACCGGATTTTGGATTCCGCACTCATGCCAAACCGGATCTGGCCGGATTTTTCTGAATTAATCCGGTCCTGAAAAAATCGGAGATCGCGAAAAAACCTTGATTTACAACCGTACTCCAGCAAATCCGGCCTGAGTCCGGCCCGGTGTCGGTCACTAAAAATCATTCAAAGATTAACCTAGTTACCATTTCGAACCCTTGACATTTTTAAATTAATAATTTGAAATTTTTAAATTATATTACAGTACTTGTATGCAGCCGCTCCATTTCAACGCTCGGAAAAAACAACTAATTACAGAAGAGGGAACCTGTAATTGTATAAGCAATGGCCCTATGATTTCAAATAATGGAGCAACAAACGTTCCAAGTATTGAAGCGAGTATTGAAATTACACAAAAATGCAAAGTTTTGGATATACCTAATGGTGGTAGACATAGGGAAATAAATGAACCTAAATTGGAGAAAAATGAAGCTTTCTACAGGCTTTGTTATTCGTCTGGTAATTTTATTGTTAAATATGATAAAGTCGGATTTCACTATAAAATACACCCTTATTTGTCAGTGCTGAAAGTTTTATAATGAGGTGTATCTTAAATAGAGAGGCATGCTTTAGGTACTCTCCAATTTTATGGCCAACCAAAATGACCACTGGTTGGGGGAAGGAGGTTGTCTAGAGGATACCTCTATTTTAGGATACACCTAAGATTCAATATTTTCACACCCAGAGAGAGGTGTATCTTGAATAGAGAGGCATACTTTAGGTACTCTCCAATTTTATGACCAACCAAAATGACCAATGGTTGAGGAAAGGGAGTTGTCTAGACGATACCTTCTATTTAAAATATATACCCTCATTATAAGATACGATATTTTCAGACCCAGAGAGAAAACGTGTCTTAGTGAGGACCGACTATAAGTTAAAAAATATAATCATTCTAATATAGCACTCCGTAAATTGCCTGTTCCAAAAGCAACAAATGAAGCTCTTGGAGGTTCCTCAATTCCATCAGTTTTGGTAACTGTTGAACAATTTTGGAACGACAAATATTGGCAGAAATTAAAACCTTATGATTTACAGTTATTTTATGTTTTTCCTGTTACTCAGAGGGATTTTTGTGAAAATGGAGATATTATTATACCCAATACACACGATTTAATTTGGATGAATCAGGGGAAGGTAAGAAGCATTTGATGGGTTTTTGAGACTTAAATGTCCATAAAATAGTTTAGAAATTAGTAGTCGGACCCGTAGGCACTAGAGATCGGTATTTTCAAAAATCCTGGATTTATGTTAGTAACCTGTACAGGATTTGATCTTGGTCCAGGAAAAATCCAGATCCAGAAAAAGTCCAGGAAGATCAAAAAATGCCTGGATTTGGACTCTGGATCTAGGAAATATCCAGACTGGATCCGGATCCAGACCTATCTCTAGTAGGCGCTCTCTAGAGCCTTGTACCTAGGTACGGACTTTTTCAACCGAGTGTTAAATTAGTAGGGAGTGAACAAGTAGGGAAAATTATGCCTTAAAGTGGGGGTATACTACAATATTTTATAAAAATAAAGGCATCAACATCCGGTATGCCTATGCTTTGCAAATCACATTTAGAGATACAAATGGAAGATGATCCAGAGGATTTGGTATATGAAGAGAGAATGACTGACACTCCAAATGCTAATTATGTGAGGGAATTTGTATTATAAATTAAATTTAAAAAATATTTAGTATCATGATGGTAACCTAGATTTGAGAATGCCCCAAGAAGTACAATTTGAGAGGAATGTTTTTGCTGGGGCAGAGAGGGTGAGGTTTTTCTATGAGGTTACTGTGGTACGTGAAAATCAACTCAAGGCGGGCGCTGGTAATTTTTTTAGCATTTTGAAATTCTTTTCACTAGTTGACATTTTGAAATTTTTTATTCTATTGGACATTTTGAAATTCTTTTCACTAGTTGACATTTTGAAATTTTTTATTCTATTGGACATTTTGAAATTTTTTACACTAGTTGACATTTTGAAATTTTTGGCTCTAGTTGACATTTTGAAATTTTTTACACTAGTTGACATTTTGAAATTTTTGGCTGTAGTTGACATTTTGAAATTTTTTAAACAAGTTGACATTTTGAAATTTTTGGCACTAGTTGACATTTTGAAATTTTTGGCTCTAGTTGACATTTTGAGATTTTTGGCTCTAGTTGACATTTTGAAATTTTTGGCTCTAGTTGACATTTTGAAATTTTTTATTCTAGTTGACATTTTGAAATTTTTTATTCTAGTTGACATTTTGAAATTTTTTATTCTATTGGACATTTTGAAACAACCGTAATGTTCTCTTTCAGGAAAACCGAAGTTTGAACAGCGTAGAACCCTCGTTAAATCAGACGCGTTAGATTATGAACTTCATCCAGAAATTTATGGAACTGGAATGGAAGATTACCAACGGAGCCAATCAAATAAAAATGAGAGTAGCGAACAATTAAAGAAAGGGAAAGATAAATTAACTGAAAAAGGTCCAAAAAAAATATTTAAAAAATATTTTCAAATATTTTTTAGACAAAGACAAGTATGAAATGCATACACCTATTGTACGCCCTATAAAAACAAAAGGGAGAGAAAAAAGTTTTAATGAAAAGGCAAAAAGTACTAGCTCGAAAATGGTGATTTAGGCAAAAAATTAATTTAAAAAAAAAATTAATTTTTAGAAGGAAACAACCCCCCAAGCACCCTCTACTGAAGAAGAAAATAATGAGAGAGAGGCAACTACCTTGGTTCCCATTCCATTGTTGAAAATAGAATCCGGAAAGATTGAAACAGTTCAACAGTCTCAATCCTCCCCCTTACAACCAGCTTTAACGTCAAATTCCCCTCAGACTCAAATGTCGTCAACATCAACATTTACTACAGAAAACGACAAAGTTTTTACTGAAACAGACACTAAAGACTTGAATGAAGCAGAGAAAAAGAAAATTGAGAAAGAGGGAAAAGATGAGGATTGGTTACTTTTCCGGAATGTTTTGCTAGCCTTTCTCGCGTTGTTGTTTATTGTTGTTCTTCTCGGACTTTTCTACACCCGTTCGTTGTGCTGTTTTTCCGGAAGTAAGAGAAGGGAAAATACAAACGGGCAACATCAACAGATGAATGGCGGTGGGAAAACGAAAATACAAAACGGAAAGGAATACAAAGAAGCTTGCAATAATTATACGTAGAAAAACGTGTTTTCCGGAAAATGAGAAGAAAAGAGTACGGTAAGATGAGAGAGTTTTCTCTACCCTTATATTTTTTCTGGGACACACCCACATTGTCGCGCGGCCACATTGTCGCCGAGCCATAACTTGCTAAAAAATTTCTGACCCTTATCAATTTTGGTACCAATCTCTTTAGCTCGATGAGAGGAATCGTTTAATACTAAATTTGGAAAGATTCGGAAATCTTAAAGCAAGTTAAGGCTCGGCGACAATGTGGCCGTGCGACAAAGTGGGCCGTACCCATTTTTTCTATGTCGCTCTGCTAAACAGGGTCCCAGATTTATTTTTATATTTTTTCTTTTTTGAAAATTAAGACAGTCGAACCTTGTTATATGTAGGAACACCCTTGGGGCGAAAAAAATTTGAAAAAAAAATTTGCAGCTTATAGTGAGGTGTAGTTTAAATTGAGGGTATTGTTTAGTAGGATACACTCTTGGGGTCCTCCAACCATAGGCCACTAAATTTAAAAAAAACGTATCTTAAATAGAGTTTCTAATATCAAGAGTATTCAAAAATGAGGTTTGACATATTTCTAATTTTACTCCATATATGAAGTTCTAATTTTATTCCATAAAAGTTTGACCCCGCGTTTTTCGGGGAGCGTTGGAGGATGACTGACAGAATATCACTCACAATTTGTCGTCAACCTCTAACGCTCCCCGAAAAACGTGCCCTCAGGATTCGGGGTCAAACTTTAATATAAAGCAAGAATTTCTATTTTGAAAGAGAATGGCTGAAATTAGACGAAAGAAGTTAACTTTCGATATTTTCCGAGATTCTAGTGTTCTGAAAAATTAATTTTAAAAATTTCCAAATTAAATTCTTGCTTTATTTATCTTTAATTTAAAATTTCAACTTTTTCGGCTGTAGTATACTAGTATACCGGTGTTAAGGTTTCGATATAAGACCAATATCATTCGATTCGTTTCGGGGACCTACATATGTATGTATATCTCGGACCAAGGCTTTTCCGGAAAAAAGAGTAATACCGTTCGACTCAGCTCGTCGAGACGAATCGAATGGTTTGGGTCTTATATCGAAACCTTACCACCGGTATACTATATCCCTTTTTTCTATTAATTATTTTTTATCCAAGAATTGCGCATATCGAAAGTCGATTTTGCGAGCTTTAAATATTATTTTTTAATTATGTAGGAATTGAATAATTATTATTTTAATAAAATAAATAATTTATATTAAGGAGAATTTTTGAAAAATTTTTTTAATAAAATTTCTATGACTCTAGTGTTCCTAAAAAATAAATTTTGATAAAAAATTTTTGAAAATTTTTTCCAAATTTTTCTCAAAATTTTTTTCTGAGCCCTAGTGTTCCTAAAAAATAATTTTTGAAAAATTTTTTCAAAAATTCTCCATTATGCTGTGCTTACATAAAAATCGTGCGCGATTTTGCCTTTTACGATTTTTGGTTCTATTTTTTGTCGCAAAACGCATAACGACTTTTATGTATGTAACCTCCGCATCCCCTAAATTCATCTAAAAAATCCCTTTTTTCCTCCTCTCACCTCTATATTGTAAAGCATATAGCTATTTAATTCCAAGGCTGTGCAGTAGGCGGCGTGGTGTAATGGCTAACACATCAATCCGGTCTACTGAAGATGCTGGTTCGAACCAGCCGCCGAAAAACCTTTTGCACTAGCTAAAGGTGAGAAATAGCTATAGTCCAGCTGCTTCACTATTTTTCTTCCCTTTCCCCTTATATTCTTCTCTTAATTAATTTCGGGTCCCCCTTCCTCTCCTCTCATAATTTGTGTTTATTTTTTTATTTAATTAATTTAGCATTTTAGACAAAAACTTTTTTAAATAAACATTTAATTATAATATATTTCTATTTCACAATTATCCATTTCCCATAACAAAAGAAAATACCAAAGAGAGTTAAGACCAACTAAAGCATATTCTGCTAATGAAAATAAAGTATAATCTAAAAATAAATATTAAGTAAAATATTGTGGAAAAAATAATAAATGAGACCCGGATGTCACCACAAGAGGTGGGTTGGAATTCCGATTTCCGACTTTTTTTCTTCCGATTTCCGAAAAAAAATTTTGATTTCCGAGTTCCGACTTTTGAGTCAGTTCCGATTTCCGGCTCTTCCAATTTCCGACACCTCGACTGTTTCGACCCACCCTGATGCCACCATACGTTTAAAGTTCAAAGACTGAGACTCTAATGAACCCATATTTTATGAATTTAATGCCTGTGACTCTAGAGCTCCCAAATTTCAAAAAGTTAATAAATGACACTCTAATATTCTCAATATTAAGGGGTTTCTTGGAGTCTCTTAGAGTCCTCTAGTCTCTCCAGTCTTGGAGACCCCTTATGGGAATGTTAGAGTCTCATTTATCAATTCTTTGAAATATGAGGACACTAGAGTCACAGGCATTCAATTTTTAAAATATGAGTTCATTGGAGTATTCTCAACCCTAAGAGGCCTAAGGGGACACAGCCAAGACTCAAACGTCTATAACTAAAAATTTTTGTATTGAGACTCTAACGTCCACGGAATCCACGAAACAAAGATATAAAAACTTAAATAAAACATTGCAAGTATAGAGATATCCAAAATAAGTAAAGCCTGTAGATACAGATAATGGATAAATAATTAAATATCCCAAAACACATTTGAAGCGAAAAATAAAATTCAACTAAATTTTAAAAATAAAAATTAATTAAAATTTATTTTTACATTTTCCCAAAGTGACGTGATACCTGAGTGATAAAAGAGTATCGTGTTACAAAGTACATTAAAATTAAAAGAAATTAGCCATAGAGCGTAACCAATTGCATGAAAAACTGAGAAAAATTTGTTAAAATTTACATTCTGAAATCTCGACTTTTTTGGCATTTTGAAAGTTTTTTGTCTTTTCGACATTTTGAAATTTTGTTGTCTTTTCGACATTTTGAAAATTTTTTGACTTTTCGACATTTTGAAAAATTTTTTTCATTTTCGACATTTTGAAAATTTCCCACAAATTTAAATTTTAAATATTAAAAACGAATACTTTACCAAAATATTCTTCAATATCCACAACAGAAACAAGTACCAGCCCGACAATTTCAGAAAAAATCAAAAACATGTGTGTCTTCAACATTGGAATATACCAATTTCTTTGTTTATATTCAGACTCTCCCAATTCAAAATTTCCTTTATATGCCGAAAATTAAAGAAAAATTTAAAGAAAAAATTTTCCTCAACATTTAACCCCAACTTACAACTCCAAAAAATATCCGTGCCTGAACATGAATGAAAAGAACAAAAAGCCAAAAAGATTTTTGAGGCTCCCAAACACCTATAGAGTAGGAAACTGGGGGGAATGAACTGTGAACTTTAGGGCAATTTGTTGTTACAAAATTGTCGATTCGTTCTCGTTGGAAAATAAATGTGTAGAGAAGGCAAGTATAACATCCAACTCCTTATTAAAATTGAAGGGAGTAAAATTTTAATCAGAAACAAAAATTAAAAGTTGAATTTTTTTTTGATTCTAAAAGGAGCCCAAAATGGAGGTCAGTAAACTTGCAATTTATATGTAGGTACAGAGACTAGTGTCTTAAAATGTATTAACAAGTCGGAATTCTGTGTGATTAAACCCAAAAATCTCAGAATCTCGTCAAGCCTGAAAAAATGAAAAAAAATTTGTTTGGGACGGGATGTAGAAAGATCCGTCTCGTGTCGACTCCTGTTCCAAGTAACCTCGGATATGTTGTGGACTGGGATCGGGCAGAGGCGAGTTCTTGAACAAAAAGCTAGGTTATAGAGAATGATATTCTTCGAGATATCGATCTCGAACATCATTACCAGTCCGATCTTTTAGAACCCAACCGATTAGAGTTATTGTTCTCTCAATTAAAAGAAACAAAGCCTTCTTGAACCAAAACCACGGAATCATTCAATACTTTGGAAAGAGGATAATATTAATTAGAGCCCCAGATTACCCGGTAAAAGAGCGCCAACCATACAAAGTGAACGTAACTTTAAACGGACAAACAAAGGGTGTTGTTTAAATTCATTTTTACTGTTATTGTTGTCAAAAGAGCTGTCAGAAGAAGAATTTAATTTTTTCTCAACCTTCATTAGAAAGGGAAAGAGAAAAAATAATTTTTTAAAGAAAAATAATTTTTATTTTTCTTGTTTTTGACCCGATCACATACATATTGATGTTTGTTATAATTCTTGTTTTTATTTTTTTTCACTTCATTTTTAACGCCTTCGAGGGAGTAAGTTGAAACAAAAATAAATTTAGAGTCAATTTTTAGAGTAAAAGTAAAAAAGAGGAAAAGGATACAGACAATAAAATAAATTTACTGAAAAAAAGACTGGATAAAATTTTTTTTGTACAAATAGGTATTTTAATTTGAGGCCGGCTTGAGCCGAGGAAAAAGAAAATTTTTAAATTTTCTTTTTCGAAACTTCAATTTAGACAGAAAATTTGTCTTCAAAATCGAGTAAAAATTTTTAGATTAAACAAAACTGTAACCGATATAGTAAAACCCTAAGGGTCAAGAGCGTATCCAGGGAATATTTCAGCAGGCTAAAATAGGGTGTGCGCCAAAATTTAGGCGTTACGAACGCAAATATTTTTTTAAATATTTTTAGTTTTTCAGGCCGCAGCCAAAATTTTTTTTGATTTTAGAAGGCCAAGAAGTCTGAGATTTTGGGTTCACATTTTTCTAATTTACCACAAAAAATTTCCCATTTTTTCCCTGTTCCCTAGCTACAGGTTTATAATAAAATTTAATTTGTAAACCAAAAAATATTAAACAATTTTGTTTATTTGTATCAACTCATTGTCAGTTTAAAAAATTAAATAAATAAAATAGAAAAAAAACCTTTTCCCTTTCCTACAATTCAACAATTTTTTTCTACTACCCCAAAAAATTTTTTTTCCTCATCAAGCAGTTGCCCCAGCATTTCTTAATTGATTACGTAATTCAATTACTTGAGCACGTTCAGTTGGTGGTAACATTCTTATTTGTTCATCAGTTAATTGTAATACACGAACCTGGAAAATAAATAATTTTCTTTTTGGAATTTTGAAAAAAAATTTTTCCTGGAAATTTTCAAAAATTTTTTCAGAAATTTTCAAAAAAAATTTCGAAAAATTTTTCAAATTTTTAAAAAATTTTCAGAAAATTTCTAGAAATTTTTCAGAATTTTTTTTTAGAAATTTTCTAAAAATTTTTATAAAAATTAAAAATAAATTTAAAAAATTCTGAAAAAATTTTGGAAAATTTCTAAAAAATTTTTCTAAAAATTTTATTAAATTTCTTCTCTCTCCCCAAAATCAACGAGCTTTTTTATAAAGCTCCATTCCTTATTTTCAAAAAAAAATTTAATTTAAAATCAAAAAAACCACATACAAGCATTTGTGCTTGTTGTTCCTCATCCAAATTATCTTGAGAAGATTGTACTTGTTGCTGTTGTGGAGGGATTGGTTGTTGAGGTGAAGTTTGAGTATGTTGGATTTGTGGTTGTTGAATCTAAAATTTATTTTTTATAAGAAAAAAACGTTTTCTTGTTTAAATATTGGACAGATTAAACAATAAATAAATATTTAAAAGATGTGGCGAAAAAATCTTTTTTGAGGTCAAGAAACCAGGAAACTCTCCCAAATAAATTTAGTTGAGAGTAGGGTAGGACCCCGTCCCCCGACTATTTTATCGGTGATCTGAAACCCGACACTTCCGCCCCCGAAGGCTCGGGGTGCTACGCTAGTTGAAAGTATCACACAAAAAAGAATGACAGAAATAAAATTGAGTGGAGCTCTTCCGCCTTTAAAAAATGTGGAAGGCCCATCCCTAGTAACCTAAAAGATCTTTGGGTAAGGAGGGTTGAATAACTCGCCCAACTTGAATTTCTTTTAAAGGTAATGGATAGAGACAGGACTGGGAGTATCGTACGAGTTCTCGTCTCGGTCCGGTCTCTAGTCATGGATGTTCCCTTCCCCAAGAGGCTTATAAATTTTTTTGAGGTTTTTGAGAGAGACCGTCTCAGTCCGGTCTCAAGCCATGGAGGTGCTCTTCCCCAAGGCTTATAAACCAAAAAATAATCTTTCAAAAAAAACCTGCTGAACGTTTTGTTGTTTCGATTGAAATCCTCCATGTGTTGGTGGTTGTTGTTGCAAAACATTTGTACCCATTCCCATAGCATTTTGTGGAGGAAATTGGTGAAATTGTCCTCCAGCTGCAGCAATAACTGGCGGTGGAGGCATATTGAATTGTGGAGGAAGATTTTGTGGTTGAAATTGTTGTTGGGAAGAAGGTGGTTGTTGTTGCCCTGGAAATTGGGAATGTTGTTGTAAGGCTGCTGATGATGCTGAAAGTGTTTGGGCCTGTTCTCGATGAAGCATTGAATAAGCTACTTTTGGGTCTACAACGCGCATAACTACTTGGGCCTGAAAAAGGGGAAAATTTTGATAAAAAGAAAAGATATTAGAGAGAAATTTTTGAAAAGCCTGGATCTCTTCCTGGACTATGGGGTTGATTTATTGACCTAGGCCAAATCCTAGACCTGTAGTCAAGGAAAAACCCAGGCCCAGGAAAAACCCAGGAAGGTCAAAAAATATCTGGGCCTGAACTCTGGGTACAGGAAAAATCCAGGCCTTGATACTGACCCAGCTCGATCTCTAAAAGATATTAGGAAAGAGAATTTTGGAGCTTAAAATAAGACTGAAATAAGGATACAAATATTAATACGGGACCGTTTAATATTACAACGAATTTGATATATTTTTTGGTACTATTCGGTAGAGGACTCCAGACTACCTATTACGAAGGGATGTTCGTCTTCTTGGAAAATGACTTTGGACGAGTCTCTTTAATAGGAAAAATGAGGGGAAAAAATTCGAAAACTGTTAACCCCTATAACTTTCGAAATAAAGGTCAGGGCCAACAAAGCCCAAGACTGACCATAGTTTATCGACCCTGCTATACACGGTGATGCAAAAAAATTTACGAAGTTTCTATATAGTTTGGAATGTTCCCTTATAAGAAGGAAAATCTTCGGGTATACGGAACCAATCCAAAGAAACGAAAGGAAAAGCGACAACCCGTGTCAGGAGACAAGAAAATGCCCCTCAAAACAATTTTGAAGTCTAAACAACTAAAATCCACAAAATATATTCTCAAAAAAACCTGTAAAAGAGCATAAGCAAGTTGTGGATTTTCAATAAGAAGTTGCCTAGCCATTTGCGGATTATTATTAACAGTCTCCTTCATCGACCTCATTAATTCAAACATTTTTTCAGGCGGCATAGAAGCAACAGTTCGAGCAATGGCTTCCGGAGCTTTTCCAGGTTCGGGTTCTGGTCCATAAGGATTTTCTTCAGGAATGGGTATAACTGGTTGGGGTGGGTTTACTGGAATTTGAAATTGTTGGAATTGTTGTTGTTGCTAGGAAATAAATGTTTAGGACTTTAAATTTTATAGATAAAAATATGATAAGGCCTAGAGAGGACCAAAAATGTTAAAAAAATTTTGGTCGGGAGTTAGTAAGAGTTAGTAACCTTTTAGGACTTTTAACGAAAATCCTGTTGCTTACAAATCAAAAAAATTTTAAAGTAATTAAATAAGAAAACTAATATCCAGAATAATTTAAATAAAAAAGAAGAGAGGAACCAGCTAGAGATCATTTAAAAAAGCCAAGGGAAAGTCCAAAATTTGAAAACACAACGCCCCCTAGATAATTCAATCAATAAGACACCTAAACTTATAACTGCTCTATCAAATAATTTAACAACCGGAATTGGGAGGGGGATGGAGGTATTTCCTCAAAATGATTTAATATGGTGACCCAAAATGATTTAAAATCGGCCTGGGTTTGGACCAAGGCCTGGACTTTTCATGGACTACTGGCCCAGGTCAACAAATCAAACCCAGGAACAGGCCCAGGATTTTCAAAAATGCCATCTCTAATGGTCAGTCAAATCAATAATTCAACCCCAAATTTATTGTACGGGTCAGAAGCTCGCAATTTCAATTCCTAATCCAACTCTTCCCCCAAAAATTAATTTTCAAAAAAACCTCAGATTCATTTCCCGTCGCCGAATCCACCCTCAACTGTCTTCCGTGTAATTCATAACCATTAAAATTCCGTATAGCAGCCTCAGCATGTTGCACATCCGTAAATTCACAAAAACCAAAACCTTTAGGCCTTCCCGTGTCTCTATCATACATTAAACGAAAACCAATGATTTGTCCACACTAAAAAAATTTTTTTTTAATTTTTTCTAAAAAAATATACCGCAGAAAATATTTTTTTAATTTCCTCTTCATTAACATCATATGAAATATTTCCAACTTGAAAAAAAATTTTTTTGAAAAAATTTATTTTTTAAAATTTTACCAAAAATTGAACGAGCAGAACGATCAGCAGGTATTCCCATTCCTACTTTTTGTTGTTGAGATTGCATTTTTGTTGTATTAAATAATTATTTTTAAAACAACTAGACTGAAATTGGGGTAATTTCAAAGCAGAATAACTCCACTTTTCTTTAAAAAAATTTTTTTCTTAAAAGGCTCATAATGGTCAGGTTCTATTTTCACCCTTATTTTACTCTATTGCCCTGTGACAAGAAACCAGTCAATAAGAAATTTAAAATCTATCAAATTTATAAAACGGAGCAACGAAAAAGCTAAGACTTTACACGGCGGGCGGCCAAACGGGACATTGGTGGTCAAAAAATAGTGTGTTATTTTATGAGAGACATTATACATTTTTTTGACTTTATTTGCGGTTGTTTCAGTGCCAACCTCTTACCGAACTATCTTTTTGAGGGGAGCAGGCCAGTGTACCGCGAGCCCAATGTACCGCCGAGCGATAACTTTGTCCAAAATTGTCGAATCCGTGGCGCCCTGGTAAAGTTCGATTCAGCTGGTCAAGACGCATCGAACCATACCAGGGCGCCACGGATTCGACAATCTTAAACACTGTTATAGCTCGGCGGTACATTGGGCTAGCGGTACATCGGGGTGTACCCCTTTTTGAGTTGGCATCGCGCCTACTTGGGCGTGTCCCGAGCTTCGACAATTGTGGATAGTAAAAAGTTAAAGTTTTTTTGGCTAGGATATGCCAATTGTGGATATAAAATTTTAAAAAAATGAAAGAAAAGATTTACTCAAGTTTTAATGTTTTACATAGTTTAGTGTCTAAAAATAAATTTAAATTTGATAAATACCGTATATACTCTATTAATTACCCTCCCTCAAATAATTACCCTCAAATAATTACCCCGCCTCTAGTTACCCCTTCCAGCGAAAGGTTGAAACAATAATTGCCCCCTTAAAAATAGTTAGAATTATCCTTCCTAAAATAACCTCTATCCCGCCTCTATCAATTACCCTCTCCAGAGAGAGGTCGAAACAATAATTACCCAGAGTAATTAATGGAGTATATACGGTAGTTGATAAATTGGTAAATGTTTAAAAAAATGAAAAAGACAGAAATTTTTAGAATAAAACATAAATAATGAGCCCCTTGAATAATAATTAGGGTTGTTGGCGACCGGTTATTAACTAAGTGTTCGGCACGGTTCGGTACTCCCGTGGTACTCCCGTACCGAATCGGTACTTTTTGGTATTCCCGGAACCGGTACCGAAAAAATCCAATTACCGAACACTATTATTAACCGGTACCCCCGGTTTTCGGTTAATCTAAATTTTAGAAACCCGGTTTTCGGTTTTGAGTTTTAGGCAAATACCGGTTTTATTTTATGGGAATTTTTAATAAAATCACTCATTTTCACAAATTTCAAGTTTTTAAAGTTTTCTAAAAACGGTCAATTTTTGGCAAAAAATTTCAAAAATTTCGAGTTTAAAACCAGTCGCCAACAACCCTAGTAATAATGTGCCCTTCGGGCATTTCATTTAAAGCTTTGAAAACAACTGAACCCAAAAAACGGATTTTACCAGAATATCTGGTTCAGGCCCGGGTTTGAACTCGAGTGTCAAAACATAAAAATGATGGAATGGAAAATTTGTTTTTAGGAAATTTAAATTAAATAAAAGGAAACTTGTCTATTTTAGGTACCCAACCCATTTATTCGCAAGCTCGAATGGTCAACGTAAACCTATTAGAGTCGGCGAGAGACTTGTGTAAAACCGGCGAGACACTCGTGCAACAAGCTTATTTTGCACAAGCGTTTTGCGAGAGTCAAAGGTTGCTGGGCTCTGTATCGCGTAACATAAACCTATTGTCAGCTTGCGAATAAATGGGGTTCTAAATAAAATATTTAGATAATAAATCAAAAAAGAAGATACCGTATTTTCCCTAATAGAGCTGCCGGCTGCTCTATTTTTCAATCGCCTCTCAAAGGGCCGCTCTAATGGATACGGGCGTTAAACTAGATACGGCTGCTCAATTAGGGAAAATACGTTAGTTACCAATATACTAAAAATAAAATTAAAACTAAAACTATAAATTTAAAAATAAAAATATAAGACTAACTAAAATCAACACGGAGCAGTTCAACTGAGTCCCGGCTCAATTGATACCAAGAGCATTAAAAAATTGAGTCCCGGCTCAATTGAGTCCCGGCCCTATAACTCAAGTACGAGTTGATAATTTTTAATGCTCTTGGTATCATTGGATCGAGAATCAAAAGCTCTATAAAATTTCAAAAAATCAGAATTTTTGACCGATTGATAAAAAAGTTATGATTTAAAAACTAACTTTCTCAAAAAAATCTGATTTTTCGGCACTTTATCGATCATAACTTTTTTACCAGTCGGTTAGGAATTTTGATTTTTTGGTATATTGTAGCCTATTTAATGCCCTATCTAATGGTACCAAGAGTACCAAAAAGTGACCGTCCCTTCATAAGTTATAGGGTCCGGGACTCAATTGAGAGGGGACTCAATTGAGGTGTACCGAAATCAACATTCTAACTAAAAATAAATCGAACTGTGTAAATTAATTTTTTTCATCAAAAAATGTAACCCCATTAAAATCCAAATCGTTCACTCATTCACAAATTGTTCACTCATCAATGCCAAATGTCCCAAGCCTAAAATTTTAAATTTTGAAGACTAAATAAATATATTTGATGACCCTTGAGATTGAAAAAATTTTATCTTATAATGTGGCCCCATCAGGGATGGAGTTCTGTTCCGTTACCGTCGTCCGCATTTTTTCTCTTCCGCCCGATTTACACCCCTCGATGATGCCATTATTTTTGAAGAAATTTATTTTGGCCTTACAAAAATCTTTCATCACGGCGCCAAAAATAAAGAAATCAGGCTTCTTGGTCTTCAAAATTCACTGAATTTTTGCCTAAATACGCCAGGGCCGATTTTCCTTTTTTGGTCTCTAGATACACCCCATCTATAATGGGGGTATCTTATAATGTACTAAGGGTTTGCCTTATAATGAGCTTAAAACGTGTCTTAAATAGAGGGGTATTTAATCTTGGGCATATCTAGAAACGAGGCTTGAATTTATTTTTAGATTACGTTTGTCCAAGATTGTTTCCATTCGCATGTACTGAATATAAGGATTCAGGTTTTGTTGAAGAATGTTTAAATGTGCCATCAATTGTCAAAAGTTGTTCAATAACCATATCCATATTTTGTTCACCATATAAATTCAATGTATCATTATTTAAATTAACACCAACAATCCATAATTTGCAGTGAATTAATACGTCGCTTTAAAAATATTATTAAATGTGAAATTAAACTCCCCCTCTCCTCCTCATTTTACATTATCATTACCCTTTCTTGTTTAATTACAGTATTATCTCTAATTAGAGTTCAGCGGGATCGGGATCCCGGTCGGGATCGGGCGGGATTATCCCGGGTTTTTCGAATTCTGATCCCAATTTTTCTGATCCTGCTCCCGAAATATATATTCCGATCCCGGCCAATCTCAATCCCAAGCCGGGATCAGGGATCCTGGATCGGGATGTGCATCAGATCCCGATGCAAATCCCGATTTTATAAATTGACTAGAAGTCTGTGAATAAAGTTAACAGAAGAGGGGAGGCATGAAAGTAAGAAAAATTTTAAGCCTGCGACCCTCTAATATTATTGCCCTCTCCATTTAATGGCCTCCCTTTAATGCTAAAATTTTCCCAATATAAAAATTTTTTCCAAATCTCGCCTGTAGTGCCGAAAATCAGCATAGAAGTATCTCAGTGAATTTACAAAATTACTGTTGATTTGGAGAGATATTTGAGGATTTGTGTCAATAAAGAGAAGGCGGAAGAGAAATCGGGGGATTGAGAGATATCAGAGGATTGTTGGAGTTAAGGTAGGATAGGAAGCAAACACGTCCTATCGGGCTTTTTTTAAGTGCCATAAAGTAACTACATCAAAGCAAATACTTCACCAACACCCGCCAAGCATCGACCTTATTGGTCCTCAACATAAAACTTTTTGAATTTAAACTGGGAAATAAAGGGGGAGAGATAGGGGGGAGATAAACTTTACCTAGAATTACGACATTGAACATTTTTATCATAATTTGATATAAGATTACTTTCTTCAATTAAATTATATTTCTCATTTTCTTTCTCCCAGTTGTACAAATACGTACGAAGTACGACTTTTTGTCTATTACAGTAACCTTTCTGAAAATTTTAATTCTGTACTAATGGGGTTTAAAATATAAGCTTCTAATGGGGGTTTAAAATACTATAAGCTTCCCTTACCCTGTCACCCACCTTCACCACTCCCTAGAAAAAAGCCCACCCTCCCTCCTCGAAGATTAATACCCCCCCTCTTGTAAAAATATTCCGGAGCAGGGCTACAAGCAATTGCGGATTGTAAGTTGCGGATTGTAAGTTTCGGATTGCAAGTTGCGGAATGCAAGTTGCGGATTACGTAAATTGGGGGCGGGGGTTTGCAATTGTGAGTAGCATTTGCGGATTAAAAAAAAGTTGCGGATTGCGAGTTGCGGAATCCTTTTTTTCAATTGCGTCCAGCCCTGTTCCGGAGAGACCATGTCCCGTTTATGCTACATACTATGTCCATAGGCATAATTTGATAAGAAATACAGTATAAATTAATTTAGCTATTTTTTGTAATTTATTTTTTACCTCAAATTCACCAGCTCGGCATAAAATTAAAATAAAAAAATTATAATAATTTTTCCAATCTAATGGTGCAATTAATGCATTCCAAACTTCTGGTGATTCTTGGTTTATGAGGGCAAAACCTCTTCGAATTTCTATAACAATTCTCTTTAATGTAAACTTATTTACATTAAATGTTGTATTTTGTTCGGGAAATCCAGGTGTAATTATGGACATTTGTGTTCCATCATTTCCTTCATTTTTCGTTTCTCTTTTTTCGCTTGAACCAGTTTCGCTTAATTTATTTTTGATAAATTGTTAATTATTTTTATACCCCATACAGTCAAACCTAACTTTAAAATACCCCAAATAATGCGTGTTGATACCTTCTATTTAAACACCCCTCATTAGAAGGCGACTCTCTACTAGGGTTCTTCACGGTTAGCCGAATCGAAATCGAAAACCAGTGGAAAAATTGAAGGGAGCAGGCCAGTGTACCGCCGAGCTATAACTTTGTTCAATGTCGAATCCGTGGTGCCCTGGTATGGTTCGATTCAGCTGGTTGAGACGCATCGAACCATACCAGGGCGCCACGGATTCGACAATCTTGAACAAAGTTATAGCTTGGCGTATCGGGGTTATAGCTTGGCGTATCGGGGTGTATCGGGGTGTACCCAATTTTACCGGTTTATGTTTTAAAATACATCCGCTAAAAATGGAATTTTTAGGGGATGGAACAAAATTGGAATCAAAATCTTGGCCCTAATGCATATTTTATAATGAGATGTATTCTAAATATAGGGTCGTTGACTGTAATTTATACCTAGAAGAATCGTCATTTTTAAACCCTCTCCAAGGTTCAACAATTTCAGAAGCATTTTCGAATGCTTGATCTGTATTAACTAAATCAACCAAAAATAATGGTTCTTCTCCCCATTCCCTAAAAATAATTAAAAATTTTCCAAAAATTATCGAATAACCATGAATTGTAAAAATTAAAAAATTGTTTAATGACAAAAGACAAGCTAGTAGCTTGTGGAAATTCTATACAAATTTTTGCTGACATAATAGCCAAGGAGACGCTACTTAGATAGCCGGCTTTGTTCGAATAGATGAGGCGATCTAGGATAAAAATTAGTAATAAATTTGGAAATTAATTCATTCCTAAAAGAATAATATCCTTACTTTTTGCCCAAATTTTCATATAACGCATTAACAAAACCAGCAATTCTTGATTTTTACAAATATATTGTCTTATAATTTTTAGACAACGAACACCTTTTTTAAGTAAATATTTATTTATTAGAATAGAATTTTTATTATTATGATCGGAATCACTTAAAAACACCTTTGGATAAGTCGAGGTATTATAAGTTCCTCGGGGGGGGGGGTGTTTTTTTCAGAACAAAATCAGAACAATGAATATTTTAGTCCTTCAAAAACGACCCTCACGCCCTCACAGCAACCTTTGACCCGTGGACACTGGTTATTCTCCACCCATCGTACTTAGAGGTGTATTGCTTGAACAGCTTCCTTGGGGTCGCTTTTCAGAACAAAAATCGGAAGTAGAACAATTAATATGTAATGATGTTTTGCAAATCTTCCAAAACATCCCTTTCAAACTTGCTTCCTTTTGACCGCGATTGCAACCCGTGGACACTGGTTCCTATGCCCAAAGTCGACTTATCTTTTCATAAACGTATCTTAAATTCAGTTCGATATTAAATAAATTGTGTATATCTTAAAGTGAGTTCCGACTATTTTAATTACTTGACCTGCTAAAGCTAAAATGCTTCGTTTATTTTTATTTTCTTCAATAATTTCATAATCCATTATATCAAAATTTTCTCCAATTTTTTCAAATGGAATTTGTGCATAAATTAAATCAACATCAATTCCATACATTTCAAATTCAAGAATCAAAATTCTTGTTGACATTACAATATTTATATCTAATTGTAATTCCTAAATAAATAATTTTTCATTTTTTGTCAGTTACTATAAAGTGTAGGCCCGAGGTCGAGATTTTTTGAAAAATCCACGGCAAAGCGAGGTTCTTGGCGAGGACCGAGACGAGGTTCCGAGACGTGAGGCCTGTCAAACTGAGACCGAGATTCAAAAATAGGCGAGGACCTCGACCTACTCTACTATGTATAAAGTACACCCATTTTACTGAGAGATTGTACCTTATAATGAGTAGTATCTTAAACAGAGGTGTATCCAAGGTAGGCGGATACGGATATCCTGAACGGAAACGACTGTATATCCGGACATTTTCGGTTCGTAACGGATTCGGATATTCGAAGATTTCTCAGGATCCTCCAACCTTCAACCAACCAACCTCTAAACCTAGGTTAATATTGGTCGTATTTCATGTGAGGTTTTCTGCTTAAAAAATACATACCCCATTATTCATTAAACTTCCATATAACCCAAACTCATCTTCAGCAATAAAATCATAAATATTTATATATTTTGGCAAAATACACAAAATATCCATATCTGACCATTTAGCAGTTGTTTCTAATATGTCAGAACCAACCACTTGTAATAGGAACTCTTTAAATAAAAAATGTTTTTAATTCTTGATAATTAACAGATTTTTGAGAATGCCAGTACAAATCAGGGATGAGTTAAAATGAAAATAAATATGTATACTATCATCGGGTTTGATTGTGGCACAGTCGGTTGTGCCTCGGTATGGGCCTTTCCATGACGGTTCTATTCCCTCTCCCATCAAATGAATTTTTCCACAATATGAACATGAATATAATGCTACGGCTCCATCTCTGGCTCCGGAGACTGCTTCGGAAGACGGACTCCCGAAACCATACCCAGCACGGGATCTGACTGCATATGTACCTTCTTCTTCGGCACTATCATTAGTTATTCCTTTAGTTTGTTTCACTTGTTCTATCCATTCTCTAATTATTTGTCCCAATTTTTGTATAATATACTCTCTAGTTTGAATTATATCCGCGTGAACAGTATAATATTCATTTATTAGGTGATTCAACTCAAATTTATTTTAAGTTTAATTATGGAAATATATAGAGAGAAATAGTCGGACCCTACCTGTAAATACATTTTGATACTGAGAGTGTATCTTATAATGAGGATACCTTAAATAGGGGGTATCCCAGTCAGGTGTCCACCCAAATTTTAAGAGACATATATTTTAAATAGGTGGAATCTTAAATAGAGGGGTATCTAATATTGAATGTACTTACATATAGAGTCCGGAATTTTGTATCGTACCGTATTCCATAAATACAAAATACAGTAAAATACCAGTACAGTTCCGTCTAGCCTCTAATTATGAGGGTATTTATTTTAGTGTTTCGCCTGAACAACAAATTTGGCCGGAACCGGAACTGAAATTTTGACCGGATCCGGATCTGATTTTTTGGTTCAGGACCGGAACACTAGTGTGTATTTTATAATAAGCTCTGACTATATAGGCTATTTGAACCTACATAAAAATCTGCAACATCTTCACTTTGTCCTTGTTTAGATTTTTTCTTTTTTCCTTTTTTTACATCCTCTTTTATTGTTAGACCCTTTCTAACAACAGAAGGAATATATCCCGGTTTTGGTCCTTTAAATTAATTTAAAATTAAATTAAGTTCCCTAACCTTTAGTTGGTTTTTTGGGGGGAAATGTTTGTGTTATTTCATAAGCCTTCTCCATTCCTTTTTTCGATCTTCCTTTGCTGGAAGATGATGATGATGTTTCTTGCTGAAAGATGATTTTTTAAAATTTTGTATGCTTGATTATATATCCCAACTTGTCATAACACCATTTTAAAAACACCAAGGATTCTGCTTTTCTGATTCCCTCGGGACCCGGACACTTTTAGGTTCATAGAACTTTTTTACAGCACTATAGACATTTTCGAGAATGTCTGGGTAATGCAAAACTTTTTCGAAACCTTTAAAAATCGAAATTTCGCGAAATTTCGAAACAGCTCTGGATGCTTGTTACGAAACGTGTCAAGATTGGGGTTGCAGCTTAAGGCTATCTTACTGGGTTTTCGTCTTATTTTAGGCAGATTAAAGCAAATTTTAACAATTTAATTATTTTTTCAATAATTACCCCATAAGTATATTTCACTCCTTCATGTGCCCTTTCTTTATTTTTTTTATTTTCAAAACCTTTAATTAATTTATTCAAAGTTACATCGCATAATTGTTTAATCGTTATTACTAAAAATTAGTAAAATATTTTTAAATATTATTTTCGATATTTGTACTTGTTAAGATGTTAAAAATTATTAAAAGGTGGAGGAAAATATAGAGAGTGAGGAAATGACCCGAAAGGGAAAAATTTTGCGCCCTGAAATTTTCTCAAGTTGGAAAAATTTTCTCAAGCTTATCGAGGGCTTTCGAATGATATAAAATTCATTTTTATTAGATCAAACATTAAAAAGTTATAGCCGATCAAAGTCGGCTGGCACTCAGTTTGCGGTCGTATAACGGAAAATACCCAGTTTCATATTTTAAATGTTGAAATGAGCCTTCAAAATAGGGGAACTTGGACAATTTCTTAAAAAGCCATTAACTCTCCTCTAGGATGGGAATACAGTCAATGCTTGCCGAAATTCTGTATTCGGATTGCTGTTTGGCAATGGCGTGAGCCAGGCCTAATTTTTTGACTTAATCTAGTCAGGAATTAATTCTGAGATAGTGAGAAAACAACAAATTTAGGACCCGAACTTTGAAAAAAGATCGGACTTTTCAATTTCAACGTGGGCACCAGGGTTGCCGCGGGTAAAAAAATCTTCGGGAACGGGTATCGGGATGGAGCGTTTTCATTTCGGGTCACGGGTTTCGGGTTGGAAAATTTTCTTTTCGGGTATCGGGTTTCGGGTACAAAAAAGGCCGGGTATCGGTTTTCGGGCGGCAACCCTGGTGGGCACTAACACACAATTAATTGTTAATTACCGTATGCTTCGCATTGCAAAAATTGTTTAAATTCTTCATTGTTTAACAATTCATTCAATTTATTTAGATGCATTTTTTTCCTTTCTTCTTCATTAAAATTTTGTATAGCTATATTTGTGGAAGTATCATCCAAACAGCTGTTAAAATATTGTGCTGCTCCGTCAACAGAATCAACGGGAATACTAGTACTACTACTACCACCACTACTACTACCTTGTTTCCCTTTACCTTTTCTACTTTTTTGTGGCTTTTTTGGAGGATTTTGCAATTCATTTATAGTTTTCACAGTACATCTTTTGTAACTTTGAAGGTATAAATAATCACGACCATGATTAAATATACTCATTTCTTTTTGGT